GGGGGGTTACCTTATGTATAAATTTTATTTTGCCATGTGTATTAGATTTTATTGCTACTATTTTTCTTGTGTTATTGTAAGGTGACCTTGAGGGTCTTAGAGGTGCCTATAAATAAAATGTATTATTATTATTAGTAGTAGTAGTAGTAGTATTAGTATTATTAGTATTAGTATTAGTAGTAGTAGTAGTAGTATTATAATTCAGACAGTTATTTTACACCAAATGGGATAGGTAAATAAACCCTACAAGACAGTGTGTGAAAAGCAAAACGTAAACACAAAACAGTCCTGTGAAACTTTGAGACACACAAATGTAGCTGTTGTTCAATTTTTATTAGCTTTAGGACGAGCTCGGTTTCAGCGATGGTGACGGAGCAATATAGGTGTGCAAAAGGAAATGGTTGTCGGTTCCACTGACTAATACTCTTACATTATGTAAAAGAATAAGCAAATAAAACAGTAATAAACCCACAAAGGGTGCAAAAGGGAAACTAGGGAGTGGCTGCCAGTGATCATGTAACTCATGCTGACGATATCCTCCATTAGTGAGCAAGCTGAACACTTTTGAATCCTTCAGAGGGTATATAACACCAAAAAACAAATAATTTCTTTCTTATTTTTGCAGGGGCATGGTCTGCAGAGGACATCCCAGTGGTGAACGTGCCTCAGCTCGCCAGACCCCATCAGAGTAACTTCGGTTCACATTTTCTCGGTTATACTTGCTGACCTTTTGTTTTCTATTGTTTGTGGTTCCCTAAGCTGGTCCTAAGAGGAACCTTCATCCCCAGTACATGGAGATGAATGGGAGGTCATCCCACTGAGGAACAGATAAACCTCCCATTGACTGATTTATTATGTTCCCCTGGGTATCAGACAGTCAAGAGCTTCATTTGAAAGTCAAAGCACGGAATGAAGCTGCGGCTTTGCTGCAGAACAAAAACTTGTGCAGTGGTCGGCTTTTTCTGACAGGGAAGCGCGAGCTCTCTGCTGGACCCAAACACACAGATGAAAGTCACGTAACTGATGCCACAAAAACTGGGAAATGTTTCAAGTGTCTTTGACTCAACATTATTTTCAATTTACGCATTAAAGTTAGATTGCATTCACTTAGATTAGAAGGATATTTTGCACAGTTAAATGTAATTATTGATGTCATGTTTTTGAGCCCGGGTTGTGATTATTGTTGATAACCACAAAGTTAACACATGAAATGAAGTTTTTGAATTAATTTAAATGTACAACGCTCTCAGTGAGTCATGATGCACGAATGTACTGGATAAATGTATATATGTAATACTGTCTAAAGCACTGCTGTGCCATTTAATTATGTTCAATACATGTTATACTGGAGAGACCTGCCTGTGGTTAGCCTGTTTTGCTAGCTTATTATTAATCAGTATATTTCCTCATAGAAGACTTTTTTTCATTTCTGAAAAATCAACTTTTCTGTCAGTATTTCTTTGGATAAAATAAAAAAAATTCTATTTCATTTGAGCAAAAACTGAAAAAATAAATTATATATAATTTTTTTTTAAATTCTTGAAGGAAGTTTATCATAGAGTTGAATGTTGTAAATGTAACTATAAGAACTGCTATTGTATGAGCAAAATTGGTACTGCCAGCAGAGAGGGGACGTTATTTAACTATGTGGGTGTTAATGACCAGAATCTGCCATTATGTCTTTTACATTTTAGCTTTCAGTTACCTTTACTAATAGTCTTATGCATTCTTTTGTTGTACAGTAGTCGTCCTATAAATGTCATATACCATAAAGTGAACTCTACTCCACTGAAATCTGTAGTGCCTGTTGTTTTGATGGGTGTTCCCATATCCCTTTCACAAAAGCTCGAGCTCGAGCAGTCCAGCTGCTTTTTTTGGTTGCTTTTGCAGCTCACATTAACAAGTGAATAATCTTCAATGATTTATCATCTTAACGCATACGTTTTCTCTCACTAACTGTCATGTGACGGCTGTGTGCAGGCAGGCATGGTGGACCTAAAATGCAGACTCACGGAAACAAAACGTGAACTCAAAACAGCTTTAATGCTGAACTCAGAAGGGTACCAAAACTAGGACTACAAAATAAGCTTACGCAGCCAGAACACAGCAAGACGAGGGTAGATCACAACACCAACAAACTGAAACACAGGGCTTAAATACACAGAGGAGCAATCAGGGAATGGGCAACAGGAGGGAAACACAGCTGGGCAAATCAGGCCTAACGAGACAAAGGAAGCAAAACCAGACGCATTTACATGAGACACGGACTTTCAAAGTAAAACAGGAAACATAACACAGACTGAACTTACAGACACAGAGCAGACAGGGGAGACAGCAACTAAGGATTACACAGAGACATAAACCATAAGACAGAACTCCAACAAAGAAACCAAAGACTAGAAATGATAAATAATATAATAAACTCAAAACATCCTAACACTAACCACCTTGACCAGCATGTGATGTGGAGGAATTATTGTGCAGGATCAGGAACTCCTTTGGAACATTAACCAAGAAAATGTGTGGCTGAATGGCTGCATCCGCATTATAACATTAGCATATATGAGAAACAATTTGGTTGACTCATTGCAGTAAGTTTAGCTGTTTTACTAATACACCACCTTTATTTTTCACTAATATTTTTAATCCCTGGATGTGGATGCGACACTGATCTATGGTGGTGAAGAGAATGCTGAGCGTAAAAGCAACCCATGTTTAATTCAGTACGATTTTATTTACTTCGTGCCAAATTACAGCAACAGTTACCTCGAGGAACTTTATATTGTAAGTTAAATACCACCTACATGAGCTGTAGGTAGAGACGAAAAGAATGAGATCATAGATAGTAATGGCACAAATGGGCTTCCTCTGAAGGGTAGCTCTCCCTTAGCTATAGGGTGAGGAGTTTAGTCATTTGGGAGGGATCAGAGTAGATCCACTACTCCTGAACATCAAAAGAAGCCAGCTGAGATCATTTTCCATTTGACCAGGATGCTTCCTGGACTTCTCCTAGGTGAGGTGTTCCAGGCATGTCCTGGAAGGAAAAGTCGCCAGGATAGGATATACTGGAGATCTCTCGGATGGCCTGAGATCACCTTGGTGTTCACCTGGATGAAATGCAGATACATGCTAGAAAATTGATGGATAGATTTTTGATTTAAAGTTTCTACATTTTATTGTCATTTTGTCATCGTCTTTGCTTGTCTTTCTATGAAAGTCACCACATTCCACTAGTGTGAAGAACTGCTACATTGATGCAACGGTCAAAGTTCAGTAACAATAACAGTGAGATTTAATGACGTGAGCAATGTGCCAGAACTATCTACAATATATTCACAGAATAGGGGGTCATATGAGTATGGAACATTAGCACTGACTTGTTAGAGTGATGGCATCTTAATGAGTATGTTTTCTTCCTTTTGCTGCAAGCTCTGTACATTTTAGCATCAAGCCTGAAGAGTTTGATTTGACAGTCCTAATTACAATGGATGTCAACAAATTAGTGAAATCTGTAACTAACTACAGTCACTTCAGTGTGAAGTTGATGCCTCGTTTGAAGGAAGTCTTCAGTTTACAACAGCTTATGCAAATTCAGTTTAAATATTGACACAGAAACACAATTAAACATGAAAGAAAGGTTTTCAGGGGAAAGCGTGTCTAACCGAGTTTAAGCAAGAGAAAGTGGACTTTACTGCCTTTACTATGTGGGATTACAGTCTGCTAGCACAGATAGTTTCTAATGTACAGCAAATAAAATGATCTTGTAATGTTAATTACATGAATTGCTCATATGTACACACAGTTTCTAAGAAAAAAAGATGAATAAAATGGCCAGTTGGACATGTCCTCTACTTGAAGTTTGACTTTTTTCCATCGCAACAATACAAATAACATATCTGTTTGAATAAAAGTGCAGCCACTGGCTGTCCAGTAACATGAGAATGTAGTTGTTATCATGCTGTGTGGATGTTACATGAGAGACATAACCGCAGGAGCCAAATTCAGTCATGTTCATCAACTATTGCAAACCGATTGATTGATCCAGCGTCAGACGGCTGGCTTCATCAGAGGAGTCTGAACTCATCAAGGTCATCAAAGGAGAGACATGATTGGTTCTGGTTTCAGTTATATTCCATCAGATGACTCTCTGTTTAGAAAAAAACAAAGCAGAGTGACATATTTCAATCAGCCAGTAGCCTCTAAATATTAAATCTGGAAGGATTCAAGGAGGTGCAGAAAAAGTTCACAGAAATCTAAAACAGTGTGATGTTGACAATGTCAAACAGCCTCACATGGTGTCTGTTTACTCAGTACAGTCCAGCACATGTGAGTCATCTCAGCTATTTAGGTGCCAAATGCCAGCTCTCCTGATACACCTCGGAGCCTTTCAAAGGCAGACCTGCTGACTGTGTTGCACATGCCGTCTCTGAAAGCACAGATTAGATATGGTTATCATTAAAACTACACGTGCTTTTGTTTTTGGCTGTTAAACTGACAAAACAAACGCTTTGCTTCAAGTGTTAATGTTTATTGTGCAAATTTACTTTCCCACGAGACACAGCTTTGCATTTTTAACTGGCCTTACTTTTTTTGTTTATTTTCTTAGAAGATTTTCCTTCCATACTTAAATATTTGTATATTTAACTTCATGCATTAAAAGGAAAGCGTATGGTTCCATAACCCTCAGCCATTTAAAGGCTGTGTTCCTCTGACAGAAACATGTGAGTGCACTTCCTGATTAGATACAATTCATATCAGACCCAGGGATGATCACGCTGCTCCCAATTTCCTGCTGATCTGTCCTCACATTCATTTTTCCCTCTGACATTTCCAGCAATACGACACTTGACTTAAAATCAAGTGTAAAATCACAAAATCATATATATCTTTGAACGTTTTATTTTTTTAAATGTGTTATAGAAATAAACTTTGATTTAATATTATAACTGCACAGATTATTAAATCATTATTGTATTTTATTGCATGTGATCTTTCTTTTTGTGTTTATGCTTGTATTGTATAACTGTTCACTGCTGCCCACATCAAAGATTTTACCCACTTCTACTCTTATTTTTACATATATATTGTATCTTTTGTTTGCTACTTCCTGATTTATATTGGTAATTGGTTAGCTTTGTTGTTTTACTTCCTGTCCTTGTCCGTTTCCCTCCTTAATCCTTGCCTGCCTGCTCTCATGTTGAATGGATACACTTATATACTATATTTATATCATCCTTCCTTACTCTGTATATTTCTTCAATGTGTCTGTTTTTTCATTCCCATTTCTTGATTTTTTTTTTTGCTAATTTAAACTGTTTGTTATTTTTTGTGGATTTTTGAAAATTGAATCAGTTTTAAAATCATTCTATTTATAGCTCGAGTTTGCATTTTAGTCTCCTTGTTTGGTGGGGGAAAAAAGGACTAGAAGCAGAAATGCAGCTCTTGAATATTAAATCACTATTGTGGTGCATGCAACATGCAATTCAGACAGAGCATAAATACCACTTAAGGACTGGTTAAGAGCTAGTTCTTAACACCTGTGGAGCATCCAGGGGTGAGACCTGTTTTCAAGGATTACTTAAAGAGTAATGGAATGATTTACCCTCTCAACTCGACATGTTTGGTCTTTCCTTCTTTTATTAAAAAGTGAATAATAAATGCGTTGTTGTTGTTGTTGTTGTTTAAAAGTGGTGCATAAAACATAACAATATTCGACAATGTGAGAACATCTACGGCAGGAGTGAAACAGACTGTGAGCTACTGGCAGACCAGGTATGTGAGAGACGGAGCAGTCTGTCCAATCAGTCAAACACAAACACAGCTTGTTATTGAGCCTGGAAATAAACTGAGGCAAACAAGAAACGACGCTGCAGCTGAGCCTTTAATATCCATAAATGCCACTTAGGTTCTGTGAACACAGAGGATGTGACGTACAGTAATGGACTGTGTACACAGTGTGAAAGGCAGCGTCATGAGGTCAGGCACACTTTTTTATTTCTAGCAGGAAAGATCATTTGGAGAACATGAACATGATTTGTTCAGACAGAGAGTTTAAATAAAATCTATGCAGTGTTGAGAATTAGATGAAGCATCACAGCAGTGGAGCAGGATCTCCCAGAGTTTAGGTGTTGGTGGTGGTGAAGATGAAGATGGAGGTTAGGATGAGGCTTGGGAGGCTGGTGAGTCTGAAAGCCACAAATGAAAAAAGAGCATAGCAGAGACTGACTGGCTTGCAGAAGGCTGGCAAGCCATTGATTTAGACCTTAACACACTGGAAAGCAGGCAAATGAGTGAATACAGATTTTTGTTACTGAACTTACACATAGAAAAAAGAGAAAACCATACTGCTGTAAACACTAAACGAAATAAACGTGATTGTGTGGTGTGTGAGGGAGAGCTGCTGGGTGCACAGGTACAGGTTTACATTTGCAAACGAGAGGCAGAGAAAGGAGGAAAGTGAAGAGAAATACATACACAAACCCTACAACCTACAAATGCAAGGGTCGCAAGGTGGAAGAAATATAAAGAAATTAAAAATAAATGAATAATTTTGTTTGCTTTCAGTCCCCACAGTGTAGGAGGAATCTGTCTATGGTGCTCAAGGTTATGAAAAACTATCTGTGTAAATTTCTGTTTTCTTTTTCATATTTTTGTTATTCATCCCTCAGATTTCGTGGAAGGAACTTTTATTGTCCTGTATGCCCCCTGTGGGGATTCATAGGTTAGTATCAGGTGGATCGTGTTAGTCATGAAAACAAAGAAATAAAATTAACTTTCAAAAACTGCTAAAGTAA